ACAGATTCAGCGCAACCCCCATCAAAATACTCAACAACATTCCTCACAGAACTAGAACAAACAGTTCCAAAGTTTATAAGAAACCTCAAAAGACCCCAGACAGCCAAAGCAATCTTTTGTAGGTCTCTCTTTTTTTTTCTTTTCTTTTTGTTCTCTTTTCTTATAGTTTGATGACTAGAGAAGGTCCTTTAACATTTGTTGTAAAGCTGGTTGGGTGGTGCTGAAATCTTTTAGTTTTTATTTATCTGTGAAAGCTTTGACTTCTCCATCAAGTCTGAACGAGAGCATTGCTGGATAGAGTATTCTTGGTTTTAAGTTTCCCCCTTGCATCACTTTACATATATTGTGCCACTCCCTTCTGGCCTGTAGAGTTTCTGCTGAAAAATCAGCTGATAACCTTATGGGAGTTCCTTTGTATGTTATTCATTGCTTTTCTCTTGCTAATCTTAGTATTTTCTCCTCATCCTTAATTGTTGTCGATTTGATGACTATGTACCTTGTCATAGTCAAGTACAAGTGTGTGTACCTTGTGTTCTTTGGGTTGATTCTGTGTGGTACTGTCTGCGCTTCCAGGAGTTGGGGGACTGTTTCCTTTCCCGAGTTGGGGAAGTTTTCAGTTACTATCTCTCCAAAAATTTTCTCAGGTCCTTCCTGTCTCTCTTCTTGTTCTGGGACCCCTATAATGTGAATATTAGAACACTTCATGTTGTCCCAGAGTTCTCTTAAACTATCGTCATTCCTATTTTCTTTTTTCTGTTCTGAAGTAGTGATTTCCACGAATCTGTCTTCTAGCTCACTGATCCATTCTTCTGCCTCATTTAGTCTATTCTTGGTTCCTTCTAGTGTACTGTTCATTTCAGTGATTTTATTCTTCAACTCTGTTTGGGTATTCTTTATGTTTGCCAGCTCTTTGGTAAAAACTTCACTTTGAGCGTCTATACTCCTCTTGAGTTCTCTGAACATCTTGGCCATCATTACTTTAAACTCTTTCTCAGATAAATTAGCTATCGCCTCATCTCTTATTTCTTCTTCTGGGATTTTATCTTGTGCTGTGGCCTGGGAGATACTCCTTTGCCACCTCGTTTGGTCTATCTTTCTATGTGTTAGTGGATTCCTTCCAC